AATATTCCAGGTCCTTGCACCAATTAACACCCAAAAATATAGCTACTAAAAGAATAAAGAGATTGTTCTTCACCCGCCCTTGGTTGACCAGCCATAACTGAATACTTCTAAATTCTTCCTTTGACCCAAGTTCTGACCTCAAGAATATCACTGATATCTACATCTATAGCTTCTTTCAAAAAAAAAAAAAAATAGCCATCATCCAATTTAGATATTAACTATTCTTAGGCTAAGACTTGAAAAGGATTACCTTGGCTACCAAATTTCTTCCCTAATACTACGAGCTATCTAATGGACTTATCCCAAAAGCATGAGGATGCAAATACTGATTATATACAAATGTTGAGAAATGTCAGCAAGCTATCATTTTTAGGACAAGTTTTAGCTGGTAAGCAATTAAGGGATGACAAATAACAGCAAAGGAAATACCAGTTGACTATACTCTATTCTTTAGGTGAATACATACACTTAAAGTCTCCTCTTATAACCACGGGCAACTATACATCTAATGAAAACAATTTACTCATTATTTTAAGTGTAAATGTTCCTTTAAGTTCCACTCATAATTAAACAAAATGTTGCATATTCTGACCAGTTCACAATTTGCCATGTTCTAGACAGAACCTACACTTTTAAAATAACTTCAGACCATACCAGCCTTTTTTTTATTACTAGCTTTAATTATTGATAAGCTAGATCATCCATCCTTCACTAATGCAGCCAATTTTTAAAAATAAAATTTACATACTACTTGTTACATACTACTACTTGTTTACATACTACATGTTAAACTTTATCTTAGTTATTTTTCCATATTGTTCCATGACAAACATTTCACAAGCTAGTCATTAACTATCTCAGCTTTTGTCATCCCTTATTTCTACAATGTCTTATTCAAGTCATTTGTAGAATTGTTAGGCTCAAGTCAGAGAACAGAAACCTATAAGGACACCAGTAGGCATCCGTGTCCAGGCTGACGTCTATTTTGAAAAGTTCATTCATTTTAATCATTCAAAAGTAAACATTAAGCTCTTATTAAAGAGCTTATATGAAGGGGTGCCTGGGTGGCTCAGTCGGTTAAGCATCCAACTTCAGCTCAGGTCATGATCTCACGGTTTGTGGGTTCGAACCCAGCATCAGGCTCTGTGCTGACAGCCAGCTCAGCGCGTGGAGCTTATCTTCAGATTCTGTATCTCCCTCTCTCTCTCTGACCCTCCCCTGCTCATTCTCTCTCTCTCTCTCTCAAAAATAAATAAAAGACATTAAAAAATTTTTTTAAAAGAGAGAGCTTATATGAAGCACTATATGAAGAACTGGGATACAGCTGTTAGACACTGCCTCTGACCTTATGGTGTTTACAGTGGTCTACAAATAATTGAAATAAATGTAATAAAATTATATAGAATAAATCTTTAGCTAAATGGGTAACCATGTGTAAGACATTTATAAATATTCTTCCGTATGGTGGGTGGAAATGTGCATCACTTTTATCCAGCCATATTTGGCCCTTCGTTCCACAATGGTATCTTATGAAGTAACCTCAAATGCTCTACTTAAATCAAGATACATTATATCTAGAACTGTGCCCAGTACACAACAGATTCATATGCTTTTTGGGTGTTAAAGCATTCCTCAGTAATGTAAAACTTGAGCTGATTCCTTTTAACTAAGACACTCAAAAGTTACATATGTGTATAGATATATTTATAAAATTATGTATGTGGGTGTGTATATAAGTAATTTATAGTGCTGCATAAAGCTTAAGCAATTACTTAACACACAGTAATTTGCATCAGTGCTTCTCAAACTCTAGTGTAAATATGAATCACTTGAGGGTCTTGTTGAAATGCAAATTCTGATTCAAGAGATCTGCAGTAGAGTCTAGGATTCTGAATTTCTAACAAGTTCCCAGGTGACATCAATGCCGCTGGTCAGCGGAACATACTTTTAAGTAGCAAGGATTCCTAGAATTCACTCTATCCCATCCTTGACAACATCTGTCTTGTCTGGTTCTTTTCCTAATCTCCATAAGTTCTTAATGACAAATATAAATTATCTTAATGATAATTGTGATAACACACATTTATTTTTTTTATTTTAATACTTTGGGATAAACTTCATCTGTAGACTAGCTTTTTCATTCGGGCGCATCTGGGTAAATCAGTTAGTTGGGCATCTGACTCCTGGTTTTGGCTCAGGTCACGATCTTAGGGTTCATGAGATCAAGCTCCATGCTCAGCACAGAGCCTGCTTAGGACTCTCTCTCTTCCCTTCTCTCTGCCCCTCTGCCATTCTCTCACACTCTCTCTCTCCCTCTCTCAATAAATAAATAAACATTTAAAAAAAGAAATAAATAGACTAGACTTCATTTATATAACTGTTTTCTTGCTGTCTTCTTATCTACCATGGGTTTTGGGTCCCTTAATCTTCTTTTAACCCTTCCCAAAGGAGTGACTACTCTCCTGGGAAAGAGAAAAGAGTGAAATAAGAATTTATTGGACTTGCTTTATCTCTGCAGTTGATAAAATCATATCACCTAATCCAAGAGGACAGAGAAGTCAAGTCACCAAGGATATGCAAACAGTTAGCAACAACTTCAGACTAAGAGCTAGGATTCTTGATTATTTATTCTGTAAGTATAGCCAGAGTTAAAGTCCTTAGTTTCCATATTTTCATCTTAACATTTAGCCCACAGCACCTTCTCCTCTGGTTCCATAAGTAGTAAAAGAGTAATTTAATATTTCCGTTCTTTGAGTAGGGCTCAGAATGTATTTCAGTTTTGTTTTTATATAATCAAAGTAAAAGAAAAAGCCTAAGGAACACTTTAAGAAAGCCTAATAATCATCATTACCATTGTTGTAAAGTAACATATTTTATATTACTGAATATCTTAGAGGAGAAAGAATGTAAGAAGAGGAGGAAGAAGTGGAGAATGGTAGTAGTAGTAGTAGAAGTAGTAGTAGTTCAAAGGAAGCCAACAAAATATTTAAGTATGATTTTCCATTTATGTATCTTTTTAAGATTTTTTATTATTTAGAACAATTATTATACAATGATTTTGCTTTATTCACATTATAATCACTTCTCCCAAGAAATACCAATTACTTAACAGACCTGTCCATTTCCAAAAAGCTCAAGGTTGAGAAAAATTGTCTTAAATCAATTCACCACCATTTCCAATACAGTCGCCAGCATATGGACTTAAAGAATAGGAAGTAATTGTAAAGGAGAAACAGTTCATTAAACCCTTTGGTTTAGGGGTGCCTGGGTGGCTCAGTCAGCTAAGTGTCTGACTCTTGGTTTCAGCTCAGGTCATGATTTCACAGTTCAAGAGTTTGGGCTTGCGTTGGGCTCTGGGCTGACAGCATGGAGCCTGCTTCGGATTCCATCTCCCTCTCTCGCTGCCCCTCCACTGCTCACTATCTCTCTCTTTATTTAAAAAATAAACAATTTTTTTAAATCTTAAGAGAAAACAAACAACTCTTTTGTTTACACCAATGGCCACCTCTAATTAAAACCTCTGATCAGGGGCACCTGGGTGGCTCAGTTGGTTAAGCATCTGACTTCAACTCAGGTCATGATCTCATGGTTCATGGGTTCGAGCCCTGCATCAGGCTCTGTGCTGACAGCTAGCTCAGAGCCTGGAGCCTGTTTCAGATTCTGTATCTCCCTCTCTCTCTGACCCTCCCCTGTTCATGCTGTCTCTCTCTCCCTCTCTCTCAGAAATAAATAAAACGTAAAGAAAAAAAATTTTTTTTAATAAAACAAACAAACAAACAAAAAAAAAACCTCTAATCAGAAGTCTAGGAAACCAAATACTTGGAATAAGAATGCGGGCAGCCCATTGTCAATCTAATTCCCTGGAGTTCTCTCTATACACTTTTGGGTCCCATACCTATTTTCCCTCTAGTACCTCAGACATTTTTTTTAGCCTAGTAATTTCCTTTCTCAACTTCCAGTAATATGGGGTTATATTTTGGTTTTACCCTGCCCTGTTAACATCAGCGTAACTAGTGGCAGATGAAAAGTAACTGGATCTCATGTAGTTTCTTTTACAGAAGAGTACTCAGCGGAAAGCTAGGAACCTTCTGTTCTCTCAGTTATGCCAGCTATACGATCTTTGGCAAATACTGAAGATATAGTTCATCTCAAAGCATTGTCATTAGGAGCAAGCAAGATGATATGCAAGTGGCAATGACTATGGGAGACAGCTGGTATAATATGAAGGTATGGATAGGCAAGTCTTGCATCCCAGCCCCACTCTGCCATAAAATAGCTGTATTACCATAGGCAACCCCTCTGTTTCTCTTTCCTCATGTACAGTGGGAATAACTAGTCCATCATGCCCGTCTCAGCTGGGTTCTTTTGAAGACTAAATACAACAGAAATTATAAAATGCCCGACATAAGACAGGTCATCAATAAATGATTATTATAAAGCACTATACAAAGTTAAGTCTTAAAATTCCTCACAAAAGATATAAAACTGAAACTATAGAGAAGTCACAGGGGCAAAGATCTCCACATATACCAACATTCTATTCTCCGCTTCCTAAGTTTGATTCCTCTTTTTTCCCTCCTATTGTTTTTAAGGTGGAACTATTTAGTAGACTATATAAAGCTGATTTTCATAGTGTACATTTCAAATCATTATGAACTTTGAGGCTAAAACTTCATCACTACAAACCACACACCTACAGAGGTTTTTGCCAGTGAATTTAAAAGGAAAGTTCCAATATTAAAATGTGTAGTTTACATAAAATCTTTTAAATGGAGTTACACTGGCTTACATAAAATTTATGGTATTGACCTATTTTATATTTGTGTGCTTATGGAAATGGAAAAGGTTTTTAGCATGAAACCATCATCATAAAACCAAAAAAGAAGGAAAGAAGGGAAAAAGGAAGGGAGGGAGGGAGGGAGGAAGGGAGGGAGAAGGGGGGAACATATATACTTGTGTTGAAAGTAAATCCAAGAAATCACAAATAGCCTTAACATTACCATCCAGGAAAGTCTGTTCAAGATAATCAATGATCTGAGTGGCCTCACAAATAATGTTTTCCCCGTGGATAAGGACAGGCACTTCTCCAGTTGAGTTCAAACGCATAAACCAAGGCTCATTGTGCTCACTCAGGGGCAGACTTACATCATGTTCCTCGCACTTCAATGCCTTTTCAGCAATTACCAAGCGCACCTGAAAGAGTTCACACTGGTTACTACAACACATGTAGGCTTTCAATTAAATAACATTCCTGGATACCATTAAGCAGACTTTCTGTGCTTCCCTAAGTTAATATTCTCAGCATTCTTTTTAACTATTTGTAATCTAGGTATTAACTGAGATATATTCTAGCATCTTACATAAATTAGAAAGGATAATAAAATAAAGAATGAAAATAATTCTGGCTATATTATTTACTTATTTATTTATTTACTTATTTATTTCTTTATTCTGGTGATGACTCTCCATCACTACTTTCTTTGCGTCCGAAACCTAATTATGTGTCCTCCCCAGACAAGAATCTGATATATAGATTTGCTAAGCCTTGTTGAGAGCAAATGCGTGTAAAAAAGAGTAAAAGGAGGAACTGTAAATTATGCGGTTGCATCAAGGAGCTTCTCTCTGCCTCACTCCTCTAAGTCCAGTGGGCAAGGCCTCCTGCCCAAATACCTAAAGTGATGGGTTTTTTTTTTTTTTTTTTTTTGGTCGCATTTCACGAGTGGCAAAGCCTGAGTCATACCCTTTCCATCCCAGACTGATCCTCCGTGCTTCCCCGCAAGGCGCATCCCTGCCCTCAGGGAGGGCCCGCCCGGGTTAGGGCTTGGGAGGCCTACTTGCAGATGCGCCTGTGTACCAGGAAGAGCCCTGAGGGAGCTGTCCCGGTGCTGAAACCCGATCCGCGCCCCCGCGCCAGCAGAGGCCTGTAGTTACCTTTTGAGAGCTGAAAGAATGTGTCCAGTGGTACAGAATGAGCCTAACCTCCGCGTCCGACTTGCCTTCCGCCATCAAGGGCGCGCCCCCTCTCTGCTCGTCCTGCTTCCGAGCCATTTTGGGGTGCGCGAGTACAGCAGGGCCTCGCCGGTCAGCCTTTATTTCTCCCACCCACACTGCCCCGCAAAGCGTCGTTTGTTTTTCCGAGTTGCCGCCCGGATCCGGGAAAGACGAGTTCGCGCGGACGAACAGACCTCTGGGAAGTGTAGTTTCACCGGCAAGAGAGCTGCAGCGCCGCCTCTGCAGAGCTGCGGGCGTGTCTACGCGCCGGAAAGTCTCTGGCGAGTGGAAGTCACGTGGGAGACGCAAGGGGATGTGTTGAGGAAAGATTCTAAAATAAGAGTCCCTGAATAGTAAAGGTAGTAATGAATAATGTTGACTGCAAATTACTCATTGGTTTGGTGGGGTGGAGTAGAGGTTGCTCACGTCTAAAAGCAGCAACTTTCCAGGACATTTACTTAAATTTCCTCTTGGAGGGTTTGTGCCCTAAGCGGAAAGAAGTTCTGGTTAACAAAACAGGATGACGATCTGTGAGTTTTCATAAGAAGATGCTCTTATGGAGTCACGCAAAATAATAATAAACGATAATCTCATAACCGATGGCGAATTAAAACATTCTAGTTGTTAAACAGAATTTTTAAGGCAGAACTACCTGGGTTCACGTCCTGGTTTTTAAAGTGGAGGTAATAATTCTATTTACCCCATAAAGTTTTCCTCACAAATAAGTAAATACAATGTTAAACACTCAAAATAGCCTGACATGATGTAGACACTCAATATTACTCACAAGTTTGGTTGCTTTATATGAATATCCTTTTCATAGCCATAGTCGAAATCATAATTTTATACCAGTCATTATTTATACCTCTTAAAATTTGCATAATATTAAATTAATAAAAATTCTCCATTAGCAACTATGTATTAATATGACCATAAAATGAATGCTCGTATAGCTCATTCACTAAATACTTACTGAACACTTACAACTTTCCAAGCAATGCGCTAGGCTCTGGGAATACAAAGACCCACACTCAAGAAATGTCTGGTGGCAAAGACAACAAAATGAATAGACAACACAATAGAGATAAGAACTGTCAGCCCTAGAACACAAGGTTCTATGAGAAAAGAGAGGCAAGTATGCAACTCAGGTCAAGAAAGAAGAGACAAAATCTAATGAGGTCCTTCCTCCCCTTTACAACACTTCATTGTTGTTCTCTACAATTCTTTTATAATTTTTAAAGATTTTAAAATGTCTTTTTATGGATATAAGCTATGGGTTAACAAGTTAATTAATATGTTAATTCAGTTTGCTACAGCAAAATGACCCTTACCAAACTTTTTTTTTTTTATCAGTTCACTCTTCATAGTAGAAGAGGAAAAAGTAAGACTTTGAAATCAGACAGAGTGGGGTTTAAATCCTGGCTCCACCCCTAACTGTACCTGTCCTGAGACTTCACTTTGTCATTTGTAAAATATGGAAATGTAAAGATATAGGGCTCCTGTGGGAATTCAGTAAGAGAACGTATATAAAGCACTTAGATATTGCCTACGATATAGCAGTTGATGAAAGTATACGTGGAAACCTCCTCCATGACATTAAGAGGACATAATATTTTACTTTCAAAATTTTTACAACTACCTATATAATCCTCCATTCCCATTCCTCTTCCGAAAAACTTCATTTTAAATTCTTCAACTTCAGGGGCGCCTGGGTGGCTTAGTCGGTTAAGCATCTGACTTTCGCTTAGGTCATGATCTCGCGGTTCGTGGGTTCGAGCCCCGCGTCGGGCCCTGTGCTGACTGCCAGCTCAGAGCCTGGAGCCTGTTTCAGTCTGTGACTCCCTCTCTCTCTGACCCTCCCCTGCTCACGCTGTCTCTCTGTCTCCTAGAAATAAATAAAACATTAAAAAAAAAAATTCTTCAACTTCAGATTCCAACAAATACTACCTGGTTACCTTTCTTTAATTAATCCAATCACCTCACTATCTGAATAGACTCAACACCTTTGGCAGCTCATCTGTCACTAGCTGCTGACAGCACTCTCACAAGAAATCCCAGGTCTGTCAAACACTGAGCACTTTCTCTATGATATCTTCCACAAAGCCATATAGCAAACACTGAATGAACTGATTCATTACTGTGTGGGTATTTAGTATTAAACACTTATAGATATCTTTGGGAGTACAAATGTGTACATAGCTTCTGAAGGGAAATTTATCCAGATGTATCAAAAACCTTGAAAATGGGCATAACTTCTAACCTAGATATTCTTCTATTTTCAGTTTAACTAAGGAAATAACTTTTAGCAAATCCCAGCAGGTGGCCCTAAAATCCTATTTTCTCTTTCATCAATGTTAATAGAAAATTTAGCTAAGCCCATGGCTGCTTAGAATAAAGACTGCATTTCCCAGGCTCCATTGCCCCTAAATGTGACTTTATGACTACATTCTAATAAATGGGATATAATGGCCATCCTACAGGGCAAGTTATGGAAAGTTTCCTTAAGAAAATTGTTAGTCCTGTGCCTCTTCTTCTTTATCCCATCCTGCTACTGGGAGGGTGGATGCTGATTTGGACCATGAGGGATGGGACCACATCCCAGCTCATGGCCAAAACCATGGGCTGCAGGGTAATTGAGCCCCTAAGGACATGGGAGCAGAACTACCACACGAATCTCAGTCTGCAAACCTCCAAACTTTTGCTTTAAGAAAAAAATAAGGCATATTAGTTAAGCCACTGTAATTTTTTGTGATTACCAGGTGCTATTGCCTTCACCTATCCTCATGAATATATCAGTCTTGTAAAATACAGATAACTTTTATGTCTTTATGTTTCTACATATAGTAATTTTTCCATAAACAAATGTGTTGCTTTTATTTCTTAAAAATTTGAACATTAAAACAACATCATTAAGTAAGTGAGATAAAGAAACATGATGGTGTTTGGGGGTTTTGTTCTGTTTTAATCATGATAAGGGTAGGAAAAAAACTGTTAACGTCTTTTTTCGTTGATCCATAATTCCTGTTATTTTTCATCCCATTAAAATCCACTTGTAGGTAATATGAAAAATCTATTATCCACTCACTTGTTTATTCACAGATTTGACTAAATTGTATATGTATTCTGTAGCTGTGTGTCTTTGTTCATAATAATAGATATGGGTTCCTGGAGAATAGCAGCCAGATAAAGGTCAATTTATCTCATCAGTATCCATTGTTGACCTTACTCATCCCAGGAACAGTGCTAGATACAGAAGACAAGGAGTTCTGGGAACTCAAGTGTAGAGGAAGAGAAATGAAATTTCAATGCAGTTGGTCTTTGCTTTGTTATCTAGGAGATTATGGTAGGAATATAGACAGGCACCAAACACAGATGATCTTCCCAGAAGAGGTGATGATCTTTACTGAAACTAGTACCATCCTGGTGCAATTACCAGTATATCCAGTGTTATGCTGCCTCTTGCTCGTATAGGCTCTTGAGAGCTGATGGTTACATTTTCAGGAATTTTACAAGCTGGATGTTCAACCCAGCCATTACTAAAAATTACATAAAATTGAACTGCATTTAAATGAATGATTTTTTAAAATAAAGCTAGCAAGAACTTGAAACTCAACACTTCCTATTTTATTACATTATTGCTTATACTCTTAAGTTTATTTATGTCTCTTATATCTGTATGATGGAAATCATATATAAGAGTGTGCCACAATGCATCGCTTCCTAACTCCCTGTTCAGCGATGTCTTGTTAGTAACTTGAAATTGGCCATGGTAGGGGTATTTACACTCCAGAAATCAGCAAGTCCTACATATAATGTGTTTTTTTCCCAAGAAAGTTAGTTTTTAAACATTTACCAGCACACCATTGAATGCACATAATTTATTTAATATTTAATAAATTGTCTTGATCAGGAGAACAATAAGTATATTCGTGAATTCACACATTTGTATATTAATTTGTACTTGGTACCTTTCCCAACCAGCTTTAATTCTGCTTCCTTCTCCACTTCTCAGACAACTACTCCCTACTTCCTTCTCATTCTCTTCACCGTGTTTAGGGAATAAGTAGATATGCATGCAACTATCAGCCTACTTTCAAACAATGAACACTTTCTTAGCCACATCTTCCCAGCAGCACAACCGTGAATCACAGTAAACCCTGAGTGAAATGAATACTGCATTGGTGTTTAATACTAATAACACTAATAATTTTGTTTATAATACTATAAACCAAAGGCACAGTGTAAAATTTTTTTGCATTAGAGATCAGAGGCCACTTTTTTACAGTCTCATTTCATCCTCATAATAGCCTGTGAGACAGCTACCACCCCTAATCTATAGTTGAGGAAATAATGTTTAGTGACTGAGAGACTAGTCCAAAATCCTATAGTAAGTGAAAGAGCTATAACTCAAATGTGACTTTGCTGACTACTCATCAACGTACTATTTTCTGCTATGTTATGCTAGCTTTAAGCCAAAGTTGTCGGGACTTTCAAGCTTTACAGAGCCTGTGATAGACTTTGAGGAAAATACAGTCACCTTCTTGAAGATTAGCCCCATAATCATATATACTTTTATTAAAGCACAAACTGTCATATCAAATTACTGTTTATATATCTTTCTTGTGTGTTGCATTCTGAGCCTTAGTATCCCTAGGAACCCCAAATAGTGCTTGGTACATAAAAGAGGTTCCAAACTACTTTTTTTTTTTTAATGTATTAAATGTTTACTTACTTATTTTGAAAGAGAGAGGCAGGGAGAGGCAGAGAGAGGGGGAGATAGAATCTCAAGCAGGCTCCACCCTGTCAGAACAGAGCCTGATGCAGGGTTCCATCTCACGAATCATAAGATCATAACCTGAGCCAAAATCAAGTGAGGCGCTCAACCAGCTGAACCACCCAAGTGCCCCATCCAAACTGCTTTTTAATTAATAGAGAAAGTAACTAGCCATCACCACCACCACCAACAGCAAATAATGACAACAAAAAACAATAATTAATAATAAATTATAGCCTCTAGAAGCTCTATGTAAAGGCAATTTTATTTGACGGAATTTGATATTTACAAATCTGGACTGTGGATCATGACTCTGAAAA